ATTTAAGATATAAGAGTTAGTTAATAAGCTAGGAATATGCCTGAGTCATTGGCCAGTGTTGTAATTAATATAGTCTCTGTGTGTTTATTTGGGACTGGGAGACCGGGAAACCAACGAGCAGTCTCTGTAAACATTGTGTGTGTGTGTGTGTGTGTGTGTGCGCGCGCGCGCGTGTGTTTGAGACAGGGTTTGTATGTGTATCTCCGGCTGTCCTGGAACTCACTCCATAGACCAGGCTAGCCTCTAACTCAGAGATCCCCCTGCCTCTGCCTCTCTTAGTGGTGGGATTAAAGGCATGTGCCACCACCACCCGGCTAACCACTTCTTTCTTATTGAAAATTACTTCAGGAATTCTAATTCTTTTGCCGTTCCATATAATTTTAGCATGTTTTTGAGCATATGTATCTATGAAGATTCTCGCTAGCATTTTGATAGGAACTGTGCTAAACTTAGATGTCCATTTGGGGGAATGGATATCTTTAGTGTGTTGGGTCTTCCAAGTTCTGAGCACAGTGTCTCTTCACTTCTTGGCTTGGTTCCATCAACATGTTGTTGTTTTCGACATTTGAGTGCGACACGTTTTTCTATATTTACACCTACATGACTTCTAGCAGTTATAAACGGGAGTGTAGCATTTTAGTGTTCGTGTCTGTGTTATAGGAAGGCAATGGCTTTCATATGCTTCTCTTCTTGAACTTGCCAAGTTCTCTGTTCATTCTGCAGGTTTCTCTGTGGCTTCTACAGAGACCACGGCACTCTCTGCAAGGGGGCTCACTGGGTGGCTCCCCTTCTGAGCTGGATGCTGGTCTTACCCATTTGACTTGACTGTGGTGAGAGACAGGGCTGAGCACAACCCTAAGAGCCTGTGTCCTGCCTGTTCTCATCTTAATGGCGTAGCACCCGGGCTTTCATCGTAAAGTCGGTTAACTGTAGGTCACAGGGCCTGTCTCTCCCTCACCATCTGTCCCTCTTTCCTGTCTTCCTTCTCCACTCCTGTCTCCCTTCCGTTTTGACAAGTTTTAGAAATCCCCTCATATTCCTGTTTCCAAAGGTTTTTTTTTAAGTATCATGAATGGGTACTGACTTTTATCAATCACTGATTTTTCAAATATTGAATTAGCTTTCACTCCTGGAATATACGGCTGTAGTAATTCATTTTTGAATACTGCTAAATGCTCTCTGCTGCAGCTGGCAAGGACTTTTGTATGACTGTTTATGAGGGATATTTGTAGTTTTCTATGCAGTCTTTGGTTTGGGAGCCAAGATAACACTAATTTCACAGAATGAATTGAGAAGTATCCCTTCTGATTCTATTTTCTGCAAGACATTGTGCAAAATTGCTGTGAATTCGTCTTTAGATCTGGAGATGTTTTCATTAAAACCACCTGGGCCTGGAGAGGTCCGCTTTGGGAGTTTGAACAGTAGGAGCGCAGCCCCTCGGTTCTGGGCTATGAGCTGCCACACCATGTGCCTTTGGGGATCCATCTGTTGAAGATCTAAGTACCGAGCCGCCATTGCCCCTCCTTGCTCTCTTTCCTTGCCTCTGGGTTCCCATCGACAATCTCTACTGATCCACCCTTGTTTCTCTTTGTCAGACGATGCTGGATTTTATTTTGTATGTTGGTGCTAGGGAGTGAACCCAAGGCCTTAGTAACCGAGCTATGGTTCAACCCCCCAGCCCCAGTGTAATTTATTGATCTTTTACAGCCACTGGCTCGTCTCTCTTCTGTTGCTTTGGCTTCCATTGACTTCTGTTTATTATTCCCTCTGCTTGCTTTGCACAGGCTGGTTCTTCACGGGGGTTCTTGAGGTGAGAGGTTGATTATTGGCTAGAGACTCTTCACTTCTACCTCTGCGTGTTTCCCGTTCAGCTGGCCTCAGCAGCATTCTACAGCTCCCAGGTGTTGAGTTTGCATTCCCATTGAATTCAACATATTTTAATTGTCTCTTGATACTTCCACTTGGCCCATGGGTTATTAAAGAATGTGCTGTTTAGTTTTAAAGAGTTTGGATATTTTCTTGCTGTCTTTCCGTGATCAATTTGCAGCATGTGTGGTGGAGGATAGGCGCTGTGTGGTTTTACTTAAGTGTCCGGGTTTGTCCAATAGACTAGCATAAGGCTCTCTGGATAACCCTCTATGTACTTTGAAGAGACTGGATGTTCTGCTCCTGCAGGAAGAGGGTTCTCTGGGTATCAAATTGAATGGTTTCCTGGTATCATCGCGTTCTATGTCCTTGTGAGTTCTATCCCTCATCCTTCCTCCCCTCTTTCTTACTTCATGGAACTCAAAGTCCTTGGCAAGTTCTCCATCACTGAGCTACATCTTCCCCATCCTTGCTAATCTTCTACCTATTACTTGATTGTTCGTTGAGAGTGATGTTCCATGGATGAGTTTCCCCTTCATTTCTATAATGCTTGCTTATGTTCTCCCAAATCTTTCTCAGTGCCTTCCCAGGAGGGCCACCCTGTCTTCCTGGTGGCCTTGGTCCTCTTGTCCTGTGCCCTTCTCTCTGAGTTGCTGTGGTCTTGTCTGTCACAGAACAGTAACTGCAAAACGATTCAGGCTGTGTTTTATCTTCATGTTACTTACCCCTCCACTCCCCTGAGGTTCCGTGGCTGAGGCTACCCACTGGTAGCTTCTGTATCTGGGGTCTGAAGCATCCGTTCGGCTCCTCTTTGTATCTGCTCTTTCTGTGCCAGAACTTACTGTGTTGCCGTTCGTTTCCAAGCTTGTCCAAGAAATCTTGTGTTGGGTGCTTCTGATGTCTTTGCCATTTTTGGTGATGGCATCTACTGATTAACTGCTTCTCACTCAGTTTGCTATTCCTGGGGTTCTTTGTATAATGGATGACATTTGTGGACCGGGTCATTTTGAATATTGACTTTAGATCTCTCTTAGAACTTTGGTTTGGGGTGGCTTCCCTATAACACTTACATGGCAGAGGACAGGGCAGGCTCCTCCCAGATTATATCAAGCTTGGGTCAAAGAACACTTTGTCATTTTGTCTCGACTAACTCAGAGGGACACACTGTGTAGCCCAGGCTAGCTTCAACCTTGCACTGCCTCTCCTGCTTTAACCTTCTGGCATCACAAGTCTGTGTCTCTGTGACTAGCAGGGTGTCCCTTGCTGTGAGGTGACAAGGTTGGTTCCTCCTCCCAACTCTTTTCTTCTTACGTTGGTACCATTCTGAAATGTGGGTACCAGGGGTGACCTTATACTGCTGGGGTATGGTGGGTTCTTGGGTTTCCTCTTCTGCATGTTTCACCCCTTCAGGGAGAGAGGGTGGCTGCTTGTTTGCACCTTTTGGGAAGGAGAAGCTGGCTTCCAAGAGGACCTTACTTCAGGGCACAGTAGTCTCTGAAGCAAAGAGCTCCAGCAGCAGGGTCTGATGGCTTTCTGTCTTTAGGAGTTGCATGGTGCTCAGTCCTTTAGCTGGAGGAATGGGCTTTTGTGTGCAGAGTGGCATTGTCTGGGTGCCTTGATATTCAGGTTACTTCTTCCAGTCTAAGACCGGGCACACCTAAGGTACAAAGTCAAGGGAGCACCCTGCTGTGTCTGTGTTCCTACTCCATGTTTTCAGAAGCAACTCTACTTAGTTGCTTTTATTTGCTTTATTCTTTGAGCCCACACTCCCCGTTTTGGTGGGAGGAGGACAGGGTCTCATATGTTTCAGGTTGGCCTCAAACTCACTATGTAGCTGAGATGAACTAAAGCTTTGGAATTTTCTGTCTTCCTTGCTCCTTCTCCAGTGTTGGGATTACAGGCAGGGACCACTGCACCTGGTTTCTGTGGTACTGGGAATCACACCCAGGCTTTGTATATGTTAGGGGAGCATTCTACTCACTGAGCTGAACCTCAGTCCCCAGGCTTCCTTAATTGCTCTAGTGAAAGGTCCTTCTCTCTCACAAGAAGTTCTCACAAGAAGTTCTCACAAGAAGTTCTGCCTCAAGCCCAGAAGAGCTCTGGGCATAGGTGGAGGTGGAGGATAGACTGTCTCACCCCCGCACCCCTCCCCACCTTCTCAGGAAAGGTGATCAAATCAGCCCTCCGCACAGTTTGACGTGATCCTCTGTTGAAATAGGAGCGGCGGCGGGGCTGCGTCCCCAACACCCTGGCCGCTTGGCTAGCTCATGCCCGAAATAACAACACACAAACTGTATTCATTTAACTGCTTGACCCATTTCTATCTAGCCTCTTCTAGGCTAATTCTCACATATTAATTTAGCCCATTTCTAATCATCTGTGTAAGCACCCCAAGGTGCGCTTACCGGGAAGATTCTAGCCTACGTCCATCCTGGGAGAGTGTAGCATGGCAAGCATGGCGTCTCTGCTCCAGAGCAGAGCTGTCGGGTCTCTCAGGGAGCAGAGCAGAGTCTGACCTCACTTCCTCTTCCGCCCAGCATCCTATCCTGTTTACTCCTCCCAACAATGTTCTAACCTATGAGGGCCAGCCAAGCAGTTTCTTTTATTGCTCAGCCAATGAAATCAACAGATTGATATATGACACTCCCACATCAATCCTCAGTGTGTCTATGAGACTGAGCTCCAAGCAAGTAGGCCCTGTGTTCTTTCTTCATTGCCGGATGCCCAGGGCCTACACCACACTGTTCCTGGCACCAAACAATAAATATGTAAATGTTGGTTAAATAAAGTTGCTTCATTCACCAGCTCAGCTTCTCACCTGTCACATATAAAATTGGCCAGAGGAAAGACACAAACAAGGTTGTGTTTAGAAATGAGCAAGACAATGGATGCAACTGAAGTGTTTGGCACACTGCTCAGCTTACAGGCAGCCAGACAGCAGGCTGCCCTCATTTCAGTATGAGCACTCCTGTTACCACGCTCACATGAATTCTCTCATTCTCCGTCAGCATCTGTTAGCGCAGCTAATGATCTGTTCAAAGAGTTGTGAGCGTTTGCCACTGGCAGACGCCAATTGGTGAGATGATTCTGTTAAATCCTAACTCTGTCTCTCTTGTTCATGTTTTTCTGGACAGGTCCTGCAACTGGGCTCAGACATCCTGCCCCAGTACAAGCAAGAGGCGCCAAAGACCCCCCCTCACATCATCTTACACTATTGTGTCTTTAAGACCACGTGGGATTGGATCATCTTGATCCTGACCTTCTACACGGCCATCCTGGTCCCTTACAACGTCTCCTTTAAGACCAGGCAGAACAATGTGGCCTGGCTGGTGGTGGACAGCATTGTGGACGTCATCTTTTTGGTGGACATTGTCCTGAATTTTCATACCACCTTTGTGGGGCCAGCGGGGGAAGTGATATCTGACCCCAAGCTTATCCGCATGAACTACCTGAAGACGTGGTTTGTGATCGACCTTCTGTCCTGTCTGCCCTACGACGTCATCAACGCTTTTGAGAACGTGGATGAGGTTAGTGCCTTTATAGGTGATCCAGGGAAGATTGGTTTTGCTGATCAGATTCCACCACCACTGGAGGGGAGAGAGAGTCAGGTACATCCCTCAACTCTTGGACCTTGTTGTCATGTCTTTAATGCTGAATGAAATGCGGGCGGTCAGCACAAGAGTCCCCAGAGTGGGTGGGAGGCAGCATGCGTGATGGCCACAACAGAGGGCGCATGTGCCGTGGATACCCTGCCTGCTGTTCCTGTCCTGGGGAGGCCCAGAGGCCCTGCATGTCAGTGAGCGGGTGTGGAAGAGACCAAAGGCTCACTCTTCCTCCGAGTAGAGTGCAGCCAGTGGCTCAGGGAGGGGAGGCTGCAGAAGCAGCCATGCATGGCCATTGCACCAGGGAGCCTGTCACTCAACCACTGGATGTGTATCTGTTGGATATTCTGAGGGTGGGGCCTTCTCTTTATCTGCCCTGGAGCTGTTTCACAGGCTGCTAACTGGTGGTCACTGATGCGTTTCCTCTCGTTCTTTCTTCTGGGTGAATGTTGCAATGAGTTTGGAGGTGACTGTTTGCTGGGCTCCTCGGGTCCATGCTGGAGTTGAGTGCGGTGGTTGTAGGGTCTGTTGCTTTGGAGTCTTAGTCTTGTAAATGCTTTGCAACCATGTTGGGATTAGCATGTGCTTAGGGAGATACTGAACAGGGGGGTGCCTGTGGCCGGAAGGGGCCCCTGGACTAGTTAGGAGTGAATGTCTCCTTTCAGAAAGCAAGGATGCCAAGTTACTTCCAGAGCAGTATAGATTCCCATGCGACTGATTCTTGTGGGGAGTTCTACTCCTTTTCAGATTAAGATAAGGCGGCTTGCATGATAAGCCAGTGTGTTCAGCACTGGATCATATTGTCTCAGATGGCAGAGGGTCAGGAGGATTAACCTGTCATCTAGGCAGTCATCTGGAGGCTGAGCTGAGGCTTGGCACATCCTCTGGGGTAAAAGGCAGCCATGGGAGGAGGTGTCACTGTGCCTCTGCCTTCAGACCAGCATCAGCAGTTGCTGATGACACCAGCTGCTTCCTGTCGGGAAACCAAACAGCCATGCTACTCCCTGGCTGAGGGGAGCTTCCCTACCAAATGCTGCCGAGGTTAGAGTGTGGAGGACACAGCGTGATGCACACACTCTCGGTTAAGAACAGCCCACAACGTTTTCAAGAACTTCGTTTGTTTTTGAGACGGGATGTGAGGGAGCTGGGGGTCGGGTTTCAGGACCTCCTGGTGTACCGCGGTCACCACCGCAGCCTGGTCCATGCCACTTTGAGTTCCCTGCCAGCTCCAAGCTCAGATTTGCTGGGCTCTTACTCTGCTATGCATTGGCCTTACTTCCAGAAGCTCTTCGTAAAGATGAGAGGCCGTGCCTCTGCCCTTTGACCCAGTGCCAGGGGAGGAAAGTGAAGGAGAAGGGACATTTAGCAGATGATGAGCAGAGGTCACTGGAGGTCAGAGATGAAGAAACCTTGTGAGCTCACGGGTAAGAGGGCAGACACAGGGAGATCTGCCCCACGCGTGATCTCAATCACTTGGTGCCCCACCTGCCCTTTCTCCCTTCTTCCCAATGACAGGGCTGATGGAACAAGCACACTACACTGACTTCTAACATGTGTGGTTACTCCTTAACTTGTGAAATATGGGGGAGAAGTTGGGAATTGGGTATGGTGGGTACGGTGGTACGGAGGCGGCAACTGTGATGTTGATATGATGCCCAGTGAGGGCAGATCGACCGGTCCCCAAAGGCCACCCTTTTGGGAAAAGCTACCATTAACATAATGGAAGGGGGAGAGCTGGGCCAGAGGCAGGCAGAGGAGGTTGGGAGGCCATGAGGGGCATCAAGAGTTAGTCTTGGGGAGAGTACAGTGAAGTCCCTTTAGGTAATGCTCTGATTAACAGTTTGGTGGCTCACCCTCCATACCTGTTACTTGTGGATGAAGTCTTAGCCTTGATGACCTAAGACTATAGTACTTTCTGGTCTAGATTCTTATTCTGGGAGACCGCAGGAAGAATGAAGAAACTACGAACTCATTTGTCACTAAAAAAAGTACACGGAGTTTAACTGATTTTTCCTGGTGTCTTCTCAATTATGCCAGTGGTCTGTGTGCCAGTGGAGACCACCAAAGAAGAGGGGGCAAGACAGAAGTGTCTTTGCTGTGAGTGGTGTGTGTGTGTGTGTGTGTGTGTGTGTGTGTGTGTGGTGTGTATGCATGTGTATGTGTGTGTTTGGTGGCAGAGAGTCTTGAGGGGAAAGATTGGATCCAGCTCAGGTCTGGCTCAGGAAAGAGCTGGAGAGAATCACTAGTGCCTGTGGTCTTGGATCCAGCTTGTGGCTATTGCCCTCTTGGTGGTTCAAGCTGAAAATGACCCCTTTGTTTCTGCTTGCTTCCCTTATGTAGATGGCCTCCATTTGCGTCACTCTCCGCCTGTGGGTGACCATCTGCTCTGGGGGCTGTTGGGGATATGTCTGCACATTAGTTCACTGGGCTGGAGGACAGAGGTCTGGAGACTGGGGGAGCTGACACTCGGGAAGGGCATGTCGGAGCCTTTGGCCGATGGTTGGCCTGGCATGCTTCCTGACTGCACTGGAGTTGTGAGGGATGAAGCTTTCCTTCTCCTAAGGAAACCTTGGTGCTTGTTTGCTCTTGCAGTGTGGAAGTGCAGAGGGAAGGGAAGGCTTGTGTGTCACTGGGTCACTCTTTGGGTATGCTGATCAGAGGCATCACCTTCCTCCTAGGCTGGGTAACACGCAGCAGCCCAGCCAGCTGGTGCCAATTACCTGCTGATAGTCACTAAAAGCGAGTCTTGCTGATGGAGGCAGACTCTCTTCATCTTCTAAGGGTCCTAAATGTTTTGCTCTTTGGGGAGTAAGGAGGAGGGTGATTTTTCTACTGTGTGTGACCCTGTGCCTGTCACACTGTCTCCTTGGACGTGGTCTGCCCCCCTCTGCAGAGCAGGTACTGTCCCTGTCTTGTAAGTAGGGAGAGGGGTGAAAATCTGTCCTTTAGTCTGGTGCCTGCTGCCTTGTGGGGAGAGGCTGGCCTGTGGGCTCCCGTACCTCAGCCTGTGCTTTCTCATGCTGCCTTGCTGGAGGGCTGGGTTGCCAGGAAGACCACGTTTCAGTCCCTAGACCCTTGTTGCCTTCTGTCACTGTAAGTCACTGCTGTCTGGAAACCACCCTGGCCCAGCTTTCTGCTGTTAAAGATGCTGGCTACAGGCTAGTGTGGTACAGACCTAAGGCAAGGGGATACTGAATTCAAGTCAAGTTTTGGAGATACAGTAAAACCTTATCTCAAAAAACTCCCAAACAGACAAATAAACAAAAACAAAACATGAAAAGAAGTCTGATTTTATGTTGGAGGTCTCCAATCTCAGCTCTCAGGAATTTGAAGAAGAAAGACTGTGAGTTTGAGAGTAGCCTAGGCTTTCTGGGGAGACCCTGTGTCAGCCCCACCCCTTCCCTCAGGTTGTTTTCTGACCCACGGCATCTGGTGTGACCTACCCCACCCACCCTTGTCTTGTCCTACTTCAGGCCCTGTGAAGGCCACAACACCTCCCGGCTTCCACCTGAGCCTCGGCTTGACCATGTTCCCTCTGCGGTTCTTCCTACCTGAGGCAGTGTGTCTGCTTGCTTCCCAGTTTTGACTACAACTGGGTAGCAGAAATCCTTCACACAGACGTGAAAGGTATAAAGGCCAAAGGAAGGGGCACAGAATCAAGAACGCTGCAGGATGAGTTCGTGTCTGTCCCTGTGCCTCCAGACACAGTGACTTACTTGCTGGAAGCCTCACTGATGTATATCAAGGAGCTACCGTAGGCTGCTGAGATGAGTCTGTCGGCATCCACGGGTTTCACCCCCACTCTGTTCTCCGTGTGCAGGGGACCCAGAGGAGGAGGAGACTGTGGGGGCAGAGTCTGCACTGGTCCAGGCTGAAATGATGGCCAGTGCTTCTCAGTGCCGACTTCCAAATGTTGCTATAACTAAAGAAACATTGTGGCCTAAGCCTATCCTGGAGTATCATTCATCAAGAAAAGAGCTACCTCATCATGGAAAGATGTGGAGGAAATGTAGGCTTACATTGCTAAGTGAAATAAATCTACCTATTTTCTGATCCCGTGTGGAGAAAGGGGTGCTCGCCAGGAGTTTAGAGAGGAGGAGGCAAAGAGGAGGCACAGGGCAGAGAAGTGACCTGGGTGACATTGGGATGGCCACGTGTCTCTCGACACAGTCTGAACCACACGCCATGCTGGAGAGATACCGAGCCCTGGACACCAGCTCTGTACCTCTGCTAATAATAAGCATCAGCATTGACTCAGTGATTGCATCGTGCCGGACTAGTGCAAGGCATTAGTGACAGCTGGCATTGACTCAGTGGTTGTGTTGTGCCAGGCTAGTGCAAGCCATTAGTGACAGCCAGCATTGACTCAGTGGTTGCATCATGCTGGGTTAGTGCAAGGCCTTAATGACAGTGGGCTCCAAGCACTTCGCTCCACTCTGTTCTAAACGAAAAGTACTCTAAAAATAATGTCTGTAAGTAAAAACACAGACCCCGCTGCTGCTGTAAGATGCAGGGTTGTCCCGCATTTCTGCGACTCGGAAAGAAAAGCCCAGATGCCCCCTCCCACCCCTTTCCCTGGGCAGGGGAGGAATCAGTGAGTGTCTACTGGAAAGAAGGGCAGGTGAGGGCTGGGAGCCAGCCACAGGTGCACGCCGCAGAGCACACCTCACTCGTGTGCGTTCAGAGTCATCTCAGAGGAACGGAGAGGCATCCCTGAGGAGAGATGAGTGGGCAGGGTGTTGGAGTTGCCACCAACCCCCATTATCACCAGCATGTGCCAGGGCCTGTGGCTGAATCTCACGCAGGTTGCTCACCTAAGTTTTGACCTGTCCACTTCAGGAGGTGCCTGCTAACTCAAAGTGAGCATTGGAGACCAGGCTAGAGGGTTAGCAGCACCCTGGCTGCCCCCATAGCATTTCTAAGACTTTCTCGTGGGTGTATGGATGCAGCAGTTTTGTTCTTGTTCCTGCTCGTGGAAGGGAGGGTGTTGGAGGGACAGATGGCTT